AATGGATCGGTGCCTCCATTGTGGGTGGTAGTGTCTTCCGTCCAGATTTCCATCTGTGGTCCGGTAGGGGGTGGGAGCTCCTGGATCAGTAAATGTCCCTGGGGTTGCAGGTTCCACGTCCCCCTCGGTGTCTCTCCCTTTGTGGCTCCAGGAACTGGGGCGGGCGTAGGGCTCAGGAATCTCCTCTCCTAGGGAGCTGAGAGTTCTCTTCATCAGGTCAATAGCTCTCTCTAGGATCCAGTCTGAGTACGGCATACAGCTTCCTCCCTCTTCACTTGCGTGCAGGGATTTCTCCATCTCCTGCTTCCATTCTGGTTGCTTGGTCCCCCGTCTCAGGGTCACTTTTCTTGATTCCTTTCCCCACTCGCTTTTCTTTCCAACGCCCATCGACCAGCTAGGCTTGTGGTCCTGTGTCTCCACCATTTCTTCTTCTGAGAAATCTGGCCTCTCGGATCCCAACATCTGGCAAGGTTCCAACTGGGTCAGCGGCTCTCTTTCCAGGGAGTTTTCTCCCTCTCTTGCTTCGTTGTCTGACATGGTAAATTTTTGCAAAATCCCCCGGCAAGGGTCTACCTTCCAGGTGGATTAATTTTGCAAGTCCTGTCTAATGTAAGGACCCACCCCACTTTGCATCTTAAGAAGACAGAACTCTTGGAATAGCTCTTCCAACAGGAATCCTTTATTAAGAGAAAATGGTTGCAGGCATGCTAGACAGGACTTGGGGTTCAAGCTCTCCCATTCAAGGTTTTAAGGGGTTCCCCAGTAGTCCCACCCAATCAACCCCCCTTCCAGTGATAGTTTCAAGTATCACAATTCCATCCCCTTTCTTCTTCCGTCTGGATGGAGACTTCAGATAACTACATGAAAGGCAATTACTCTTCTTTGATATGTTAAAGCTTAGAGGCCACAATAAACACACATTCAGTCCTTTGAAGTGTGCTGAAGGAAGTGAGGGCCATAAAGCCCCTTTGCTCTCCCCCTTTTCTCCCTCTTATGGCAGAATCCAGAGAAGGCAGAATTGGGAGTTTCTATGTTTGATAATTAAAGATGAAATATAATTGGATTCTGACACATTGCTTACTGGTGTACACCTATTAGAGAGTGCTTGCACTTAAAGCGGTATATAAGTCTCATAAATAAATAAATAAACTGTTGGAACTCGTTGCTTCATCTCAATGCCTCTTTTCCTGAAGCAGAACATTGACCTTATCATGACTCGATTTATATCCAACTGCAGAAATCATTTGACACCTGCCTTGCATTCAATCGTCTGTAATTTGAGTCTTTATGTTTCTGCAAAGTAAACACAATTTTGTTTAGCGCCGGGAGGGTCTCTTCCAGCTTGGCAGTGTTGCTTTGGGTGACTGAACAGGTTCTGCACACCCTTACAAATAATTAGTGGTAGTTCTCGACTTATAACTGTTCATTTAGTGACTGTTCAAAGTTACAACGGCACTGAAAAAAGCAACCGTTTTTTCACACTTAAGACCACTGCAGCATCCCCGTGGCCACGTGATCAAAATTCAGACAATTGGCAACTGACCCATATTTATGACGGTCGCAGTGTCCCGGGGTCACGCGATCATCTTTTTTTGCGACTTCCCGACAACCAAAATCGACGGGGGAAGCCAGATTCACGTAATAACCGGGTTATTAACTTAACAACTGCAGTGATTCACTTAACAACTGTGGCAAGAAAGGTCGTAAAATGGGGCAAAATTCACTTACTAAATGTCTCACTTAGCCACAGAGGTTTTGGGCTCAGTTGTGGTTGTTAAGTCAAGGACTACCTGTATTTGGAGATCAATGTTGGCTTTATTATCTTAATAGATATATGGACTGGGATCAACGCTGCTTTACTACAGTTGAGAAGAGAAAGGGAAATTGTAAATTACATATTTTCTCTGCAACGTAAGTACATCTTAGTATAGAGGACATCCACGCTATTTCTATTTTTAAAAGTCCAGAACAGTGAGATAACATTTGGAAGTGGCTCAAACAGACACTTTTTTAATTCCCTGGAATATAAGAAGGGGGAGGCAAACAGGTGGAATACACAATAAACAGAACTGGAAGGGACCTTGGTGGTCTTGTAATCCAACCCCCTGCATAATCAGACTTGCAAGATTCTGTCACTACAGCCATCTTAATAAAGGCCTTATTTTGATACTGGCATTCTGGAAACACATTTGTGTTCTCAGCAAAGGAAAACAAGGCACATCTGAGATCGATTTAAAAACGAAATGATTGGGCCTCCGAGATCTCAGAGCAGACAACGAAACAGCCATAGCTTTTGTTATCCTCTCTGCAAATCTGAATTGCCTCTATTTTATTTGCCTGGAGAATAGCGTTCTCCATTTCCAGATGTGGAAGCTTGCCCACAGTGTGCTGCAGCTGCTAAAAAAAGCCAATGCAATCCTGGGCTTCACGAACAGAGGGATAGCATCAAGATCACGAGAAGTGATAGAAGCGCTTTATACTGCACGGGTGAGATGACACTTGGAATACTGCATCCAGTTTTGGTCTCCCAATATATTAAAAAAGCATGTTGAGACCCTGGAAAGTGTGCAGAGAAGAGCAACAAAGATGATTAGGGGATTGGAGATTAAATCGTAGGATGAATGACTGAGGGAGCTAGGTATGTATAGCTTATTGAAGAGAAGGTTTACGGGGACACGATAACTGTTGTCGAAAGAAAAATCAGGTCCAGTTCCAAGCTGGGAATAAAATGGAGGCTGGCTGCTTTTGAAAGGTCTGTTTATTGATGAATAGAACCAGCAACAGCATGCATTCTAGAACAGCTGACAAAATGGCTGAGTGAGTGGATGGATTTTTATAGGGTTCCGATTGAGATGCTCCAGGGGGTTGTGCAATGTAGTGAGCCTTGTGCCTTTTGCTAGTCTAATGATATGTCCTAAAGGTCATGCCCTGGCCTTAGAATTTGGGTGGGGGAATGTAAATTCTTAATCCCATCAGCCATGGGGGCTAGGGCATTTTCTTTATGAATAGATTGGCCCCAGTCTTTCTTAATAGGTATAAAATATCCATCTCTAAAGACTTGAGACTTCTGCTTGAGGCTGTTAAGAAAGACTGGGGCTGCTTTCTGCCTTTGTTAAGACTTTTCTCCATTTCTCCTTTAGAGGAAATATTCTATCCTGCCTTTTTAAAATATCCCTGCTCTTTAGAAGGCCAGATCCTAAAGTTGAAACTCAAGTACCTAATGAGAAGGAAAGACTCACTGGAGAAGAGCCTGATGCTGGGAAAGATGGAAGGCAAGAGAAGAACGGGACGACAGAAAAGTGGCTGGATGGAGTCCCTGAAGCAGGAGGCATGAGCTTCAATGGACTCCAGAAGATGGTAGAGGACAGGAAGATCTGGAGGAATGTTGTCCATGGGGTCGCGATGGGTTGGACACGACTTCACAACTAACAACATTAACTCGAGTTCTTTCAAGATATCAGCAAGCATGCGGTGGAAGTGACTCTGTTGACATTGTATATTTGGATTTTCAAAAAGCTTCTGATGAACTCGATCTAAGCTACTTAAGTGAATTGAGCCATCATAGGATTAGAGGAGATCTTCTGTGAGGCTGGTGTCCGGTTTACCAAAAAAACAACAACAACCCAAAAACAACCTCCTCCCCAAACACTCCTATAGAATGGGAAAAATAGGCAATTTTCACAAGAAGTAAGATAGAGCCCAGAAGGAAAATATATTTCTCCATGAAGCAGATAATCAATCCACGGAAGATGATGCCACATATTTGCTGCTAATTCAAGAGGCCTCTAAAGCAGTGGTTCTCAACCTTTTTAATGCCGCGACCACCAACCGGTCATAAGTTGAGGACTAAGCCGGTCGTAAGTCGAGACTACCCAACCAGTCGTAAGTTGGGGACTTTCCCTGCCCGGGAGCGCCACGCATGCATGGTGCTGCCCCCTGCGCTGGCCGAGGCGTAGCTGGCAAGTGGCAGAGACGGAGCAGGCCGACCACCGGCTGGGCCACCAGCTGGCTCAGCCCAAGGGAGGTGAGGCACCCGCCGGAAAAGGGGAAAAAAATGGCGGACAGCCTTGCTTGGCGACTCCCGTGAAATGGTCGATTGACCCCAAATGGGGTCGCGACCCATAGATTGAGAACCACTGCTCTAAAGGAAACTACACCAGTTTCTAGATCGAGAAGACCGAACGACAGATGACAATATGTCTGGAAAGCAAGAACACTCCACCTCGACAAGGCAACAGGAGAGATCTACCGCAATCTTTTATTTGTGGGCTTCTGAGATGGATTTGGCGGGCCACCACATGAGAGAAAATGCTGCCCAGACATGATCTAGCAGTGATATTCCCTTGTGGTCAATCAATCAATCAATCAAAATAGAGCTAGGCCTAGTTTAATGCAAAGGACTAGGAGTGACAGGATAGCAGTATTCCAATATTTGAGCGACTGTCACAAAGAAGAGGGTGTCAATCTCTTCTCTAAACCAATGAAGACATGACAAGAAGCAATAGATGGAAACTAATTAGGGAGAGAACCAGCCTAGAAATAAGGAGAAATTTTCCTGACAGTGGGAACAAGAATAGAATAGAATAGAATAGAATAGAATAGAATAGAATAGAATAGAATAGAATAGAATAGAATAGAGTAGAATAGAGTAGAGTAGAGTAGAGTAGAGTAGGGTAGAATAGGGTAGGGTAGGATAGGGTAGAGTAGCGTAGGGTAGGGTAGGGTAGGGTAGAGTAGAGTAGAGTAGAGTAGATTAGAATTAGAATTAGAATTAGAATTAGAAATAGAATAGAAGCTGGAAGGGACCTTAAAGGTCTTCTAGTCCAGCCCCCTGCTCAAGTAGGAAAACAATTAACCAGTGGAAGAAGTTGCCTGCAGAAGTTGTGGATTCCCCAGTACTGGAGTTTTCTAAGAAGAGATTGGACAACCATTTGTCTGAAATGGTATAGGGCTTCCTGCTTGATCAGGGGGTTAGACTAGAAGACCTCCAAGGTCCCTTCCAACTCTGTTACAATTCTATTCTCTCTCTTTCTCTCTCCCTCACCTCCCCCTCCCATTTGTGGCCTCATCCCAAGATCTGTGCTGCGTGTATTCCCTTTGCAGTAGGCAGGAGTGTTTCCTTCAATTCTTTTTGGGGAACTTCCTTTTAATTCCTCTGTGCATGAACTTTATTTATTCAGCCTCTCCATTTTATCTGTCCTCTTACTGAATATCTCTCGATTTCCCATCCCTAATCGTATTTCTTTCCTTGCCAGTTCTCCGGGCTGCAGTTTCTCTCTGAGAGAAACCCATAGCTCACAGGAGGTAAGGCAGGGGAAGAAAAACAAGATTGCTGGCCAGTCCATTCATTTTTTTGTGATGTTAACAAGGAGCGAGCAGGGAAAGCTGTGTGTGTGTTTTTTCCTTTTCGACCCCAAATTCCAACAAATATCCCAGTGCAATGGGAGGAGGATTTCCAGCTGGCTAAGGAAGACAACTAACAATTGGCTGCTCTCACACCCTCCTCCTGTTCTTCCCATCCTCAGAAGCTAAGTTAGTGAAATAGCCAGAAGCAGGACATGCAACACCGTCCTAAATTGCATGTGCTTTATCCCGACCGATAGGTTGAACCAGGGCACGTAAAGGCTCTCTGCAACCCTTCGGAGTCTCATTAAGAGAGGCCTTCAGGCTTGTGAGTATTGGAACAGGATACAAAGATGGCTGAAAGATGTATTAATGTTGGACGTAGAGTTAAAACCTGAACTTTTCCTGTTGGGAATAACTACAGAGAAATACAATTAAGGGAACAATCTATTTGCTTTTACGTATCTTGACTGCAGCTAGGCTGGCGTTCGCACAAAAATGGAAGAGCAAAGACATTCCCACAGAGGAAGAGACACTGTATAAAATATTATCATGTGCAGAAAAGGACAGGCTCATAAGGGTATTGAAAGACAAATGTAGATCGGTTTATTTCGAAACCTGGGATAATTTTTTACTGCTGGAGTGATTTGAGGAGGACGGTTGGGATTATAGGCTAGTGTTAAGATAGAAATATATGTAATTTTAGGTTAGCAAATAGAGAAATAGATTAAGTATTGTATAAAATTTAGATGTATATTCACAGATGAAGAACCAATTGTACAATGTGAAATAATTTGATAAGAATGTATATACTGAATGTCACGTTACATCCAATGTTTCTTTTCATTGTATTATAAATAAAATTGGTTAGAAATAAAGAGAAAAAAAAGAGAGAGAGAGTCCTTTTCAACGCTGAGCAACTGTTCCAGGTGAGAAGGCAGATTTTACAACTCAGAAATCTCTTCGTGGCGGTGGTTGCAGCAACGAGGCTGAAGGATGAAGCAAAATACTTGTTTTGTCCAGGAGATCAGAAAAAGGATAGGATGGATTTCTTGTATGACAACAAAGACATGATAAGGCATGATAAGTAATTGGAGAAAAATCTGAATTTTGTTTGATGGATTTGAATGAATTAAGGTTTAATATTATCTCGTTATTTTAAAGAGATGGATTGACTTTGGGATTACATATATATAGGGCTGATCAATATTTTATTGCTATTAGGATATCTATTGTGTAGGGCAGTGTTTCCCAAACTTGACAATTTTAAGGCATGTGGACTTCAACTCCCAGAATGCTGGCTGTAGAATTCTGGGAGTTGAAGTCCACATGCCTTAAAATTGTCAAGTTTGGGAAACACTGGTGTAGGGGAAGAAGAAATAAATGAGATTGGTGATAAAATGAGGGATGTGAGAGATTAAGAATTAGAATTGATAATTTCTTGTTTTAAATTTAAACTATTGTAATTGTAAACTGATAAAGTTATAACGCAGGTTTAACAGTAATAGAAATTTAAAATAGAAATGGAACATTTAAATGTATCATGCTAATTGAGAGGGAATAGAGAGGGAATAGTGAAATCTATTGAGTTGTGTTGTTTATATATGTCTTTACTTTTGAATGTTTGACCACCCAACCACCACGGTGGGTCCTGAGTACTTTTTCTTAAGAATTTTAAAAAAAACCAATAAAATGTGTTTAAAAAAAGAAAGAAAAGGGTTTGGAAACGGACTGTACAACTTGAGAAAGATGCCAGCCGTGATAATTTCATGGCAGGGGTTTTATCGGGTGGTATTGGAGCAGTGGTTCTCCACCTGTGGGTCGGGACCCCATTTGGGGTTGAACGACCATTTCACGGGGGTCGCCAAACAAGGCTGTCCGCCATTTTCCCCCCTTTTCTTTGGCCACGCCCCTGGCACCCGGTGATGTATAAGTGGTTGGGGGTCACCACAACATGGGAAACTGTATTATGGGGTCGCGGCATTAGAAAAGTTGAGAACCACTGTATTGGGGGATTTGGCAGACTTGAAATAGGTGATGAGAAGCTTTTTTTTTTTTGACTTTTCTAGAAGAAGACAATGCTCTTAAGCTGGGTGGTGGTGTTGACTTGGCTGACTTCTCTGAAGATGTTTTCTGTAGCGGAGGATTCAGCCCTGGAAGAAGCCTGGAGAGACTGGAAGACGACCTACGGCAAAGTATACCCCGAAGTGAGTTTGTTTTGGTTCTCGAAAAGAGAAGAATGTCTAATTAATGTTTTAGTAATTCTAAGGCATCAGGAGTTGCCTTAGACTCCTCTTCCTCTTCTCTCCTTCTTTCTGCTTTTTCTTCTTCTCCTCCTCCTCTCTTTTTTTTTTTAAAAGAAAGGATCTTATTGCCAATGACGTGGTGCAAACTTGCTCTTTGAAGGGACAAGTTTCCTTTTTGAAGGACTGTCTTCAATTTTCCTGCATTCTTTTTCCAGATTATTGTGGGCTTTGCTAAGGGTCCCACAATTCTATTTTAACCCATGTTGTATCGGCTCCAACGTACAGAAGGTAGAGAGTTGGAACTCATCTTACACCCAGATAAGTAGAACAGGGAGAAACACTCAGTGTGTACTTGGTGGCCTTCTACTTTCCCGCTGAACACCAATCTCACCACCATCAGGATAAAGAGGCCCTGAAGGTTCTCTATCAGACCATCAGTGACTTACAAACTACTCACCCAGAGGGTGCATTTATTGCAGTGGGAGACTTTACCCAAGTGGATTTGAAAGCTACCTTGCCACATTTCCATCGATAGGTGGACTTTGCAACCAGAGGGGACAATACACTGGATCTCGCTTATTCCAACCTCAAGAGCCGAGGTGGCGCAGCAGTTAGAGTGCAGTACTGCAGGCCACTTTAGCTGACTGTGTTCAGCAGGTCAGCGGTTCAAATCTCACCGGCTCAAGGTTGACTCAGCCTTCCATCCTTCCGGGGTAGGTAAAATGAGGACCCAGATTGTTGGGGGCAATGTAAATATATATATATATATATATATATATATATATATATATATATATATATATATATATATATATATATATATATACATTGCTTACTTGTGTACACCGCTTAGAGAGTGCTTGCACTTAAAGCGGTATATAAGTCTCATAAATAAAATAAATAAATAATAATAATAAAGAAGGCTTTCAAAGCGATCCCCCGCCCTCACCTGGGCCCCTCTGACCATCTCTCAGTGCTGCTTATTCCAGCATATAAACCTTTATTAGCCAGAGTGAAACCTACAGTAAAGCAGGTGAGGGTTTGGACAGAGGGAGCTACAGAAGCATTACAAGACTGCTTTGAGTGCACGGATTGGGGCATGTTTAAGGAAGCAGCTACTGATAACCAACATACAAATGCTGAGGGGTGTGTCACCACGGTGTCTGCATAGATCCAAAAGTGCATAGAGGATGTCTGTGTCCTAAAAAGCATTGTCGTGAGGGCGAATGAAAAACCGTGGCTGACTTAAGAGGTCCGCAAGATGCTGAAAGCACGGAATGTGGCTTTTAAATCTGGTGACATGCTGGCACTTAGAACAGCCAGAGCAAACTTGAAAAGTGCCATAAAAGGTGCAAACTAAGCCCATTGTCAGAAAATTCAGGACCCAACAAACACCAGGCAAATGTGGCAAGGAATCCAGGCCATCACGGATTATAAGGTGACTCCATCGAGATACAAGGATGACACAGACTTCCTAAAGAAGCAGAATACATTCTTTGGAAGATTCGAGGCATCAAATAGCCCTCCTGCTAGGAAAGCTGTGCCCCATCCTGACGAGCAAATGCTAAGCTTTCATGTCACCTCTGTCCGGAAAACACTGCAGAAAGTTAACATTCGGAAAGCCGCATCCCTGGATGTGTCCTTAGAGAATGCGCAGATGAGCTGGTTTGTGTTCTCACAGATATTTTCAACCTCTCATTGCAGCAGGAAGTGGTCCCATTGTGTTTTAAGATGGCCATCACCTTGCCAGTGCCAAAAATGTCCACAATTACAGGCCTCAGTGATTACTGTCCAGTTACACTGACATCTATCATTATGAAATGCTTTGAGAAACTGATAAAGGACATTATTGCATCTAGCCTCCCACCAGCATTTGACCCGCTTCAGTTTGCTTACCAACCAAATTGCTCTACGGAGGATGCTATTTCTTCTGTTCTCCATCTGAGCTTGAAGCACTGAGAGGAAAGAAATACTCATGAGCATTTGTTGTCGACTTCAGTTTGGCATTTAACACAATCATTCCCCAGCATCTAGTAGACAAACTGGGCCTTTTAGGCTTAAACACTCCTTTGTGCAACTGGATTCTTGATTTTCTTACCAACAGACCCCAATATGTGTGCGTTGGAACAAATACTTCTAACACCATTTTCTTGAGCACAGGTTCTCCTCAGAGCTGCGTCCTAAGTCCACTGTTCACCCTGATGACCCTTGATTGTTGTGCTAGGTTTGCCACCAACCATATTGTGAAGTTCGCACATGATACAATAGTAGTGGGCCTTATTTAGGATGACAATGAGGGTGCTTACCTCAGAGAGGTTGAGGGGTTGGTGAACTGAAGAAGAACATCCTAGTTTTAAATACCAGAAAAACTAAAGAGATCATTGTCGATTTCAGAAAAGGCAGGCACAGCCACACTTCGCTGTGCATTAATGATTCACCTGTGGAAATGGTTGCCAGCATCAAATTCCTGGGTGTGCAATTAACAAGTAGGCTGGCTTGGTCACTCAACAGTGAGAAATTGGTAAAGTGGGCATAGCAGTGCCTGCATTTTCTGTGTCGCTTGAGAAAAGCACATCTTCCTTCTCCTATCCTTACCACTTTCTACAGAGGGAGGATGGAGAGCATCCTGTCATACAGCATCACAATCTGGTTTGGAGGCATCCGTGCTTGAGAAAGGAAGGCGGTGCAGAGGGTGGTGAGGACGGTCGAAAAGATCATTGGCTGTTCCCTCCCTCCCTCCCATCCAGGACATAGTGCAGAATCGTTGCTTGAGCAGGGTCCGTAAGATTATCTGGGACACCACACATCCTCTTCACAACCTGTTTTCCTTGTTCCCTTCTGGGAGGAGGGGGCTCTGTGGTATCCGTAGCAGAACATCCAGATTCAGCCAGAGTTTCATTCCATACAGCATTAACCTTGCGATCTCTCAAGCTTCCTCCTTCCATTATATATTCAAGATGGATAGTGTTTGATATTCATTCATTCATATGTTATGTATATGTAGGGGTGTAGGTCTATACAGTACATATGTTGTATATAGTAAGTATATGTTTGTAGATCTTTGGTTATTCGGGTTTTCTCCCGCGTCAAATTGGAAGTGTCTTGGCGACGTTTCGACGAAGTCTCATTCGTCATCTTCAGACTGGTGTTTTCGGCTTCATGCTTCCAATTTGATGCGGGAGAAAACCCGAATAACCAAAGACCTACATACAAACACCCGCGAAAACCTCAGAAAACAAATAAGTATATGTTGTATATAGTATGTTTAGGTGTGTGTCATGTACGTGTTCACTTTGATTTTTGATGTATGTCGTTGTGCCCACAGCAAAAAATGACAATAAAGGTTCTTATCTTATCTTACCTTATCTTACCTTACCTTACCTTACCTTACCCTACCCTACCCTATCTCATCTTATCTTAAAGGAGTATTAGGTATGTCCACCACCTTAAATTACTTCTAAAATAATAAAGGTGGGATAAAAAATTGAATAAGATAAGATAACCTTTATTGTCATTTTTATACCGTGGGCACAAGGGCCCACATCAAAAATGAAATTTAGTTGCCCGCTCTCAAAGTGAAACACATCAGATCCATTTTGAGACCCTAAGATTTAAGCTGTTCTTCAATCCACAGATGATGCTTTGAGATAGGGGAGAATATAGCACATCTATTCTTGGCTTCCTTAGGAAGAAGACGTCTCCCGGAGAGCCACATGGGAGAAAAACCTGCAGATGGTTGAGCAGCACAACCATGAGGCCGATGAGGGGAAACACACCTACTGGATGAAGATGAACCAGTTTAGTGATTTGGTAAGCAAACTCAGGAGTATACCACAGATTGGATGCTCATGCATGTTGGAGAAAATTTTTCATACCCCAATGCATATGCATCCATTGCTATTTAGAAACTTTTTTTCCCCCTTTTGTGAATTGAAGTGCTCTACTCCCATTCTTGAATCAGCAAATTAAGTAGTAGCATAAAGGTTGCAGGTCCTTAACAGAATAACAAAGCTGGGAGGGACCGTGGAGATCTTCTAGTCCAACCCCCTGCTCAGGCAGGAGACCCTATACCAGGGATAGGCAACCTTGGCTCTTTTAGGATCGTGGACTTCAACTCCCAGAATTCCTGAGCCAGCCATGCTGAGGGGAAAGGGAGAGGTTTCCAAGCTGAGCCAGGCCAGCTCAGAATTCTGGGAGTTGAAGTCCTCAAGTCATGAGGGGGCCATAGTTCCCCCATCTGGCAGAGGAATTCTGGGAGTTGAAGTCCACAAGTCATGAAGGAGCCATAGTTCCCCCATGCTGGCTCAGGAATTCTGGGAGTTGAAGTCCATGAGTCATGAAGGGCCATAGTTCCCTCATGCTGGCTCAGGAATTCTGGGAGTTGAAGTGCATGAGTCATAAAAGAGGCAAGGTTGCCTATCCCTGATCTGGGACTTCAACTCCCAGAATCCCCTAGGCCAGGGGAGGCAACCTTGGCACTTTTATGACGTGTGGACTTCAACTCCCAGAATTCCTGAGCCAGCCACTCTGAGGGGAAAGGGAGAGGTTTCCAAGCTGAGCCAGGCTGGCTCAGGAATTCTGGGAGTTGAAGTCTACCAGTCATAAAAGAGCCAAGGTTGCCTACCCCTGGCCTAGGCTGAGACCCTCCAGATCAAGGGTAGGCAGCCTTGGCTCTTTTATGACTGGTGGACTTCAACTCCCAGAATTCCTGAGCCAGCCACTCTGAGGGGAAAGGGAGAGGTTTCCAAGCTGAGCCAGGCTGGCTCAGGGATTCTGGGAGTTGAAGTCCATGAGTCATAAAAGAGCCAAGGTTGCCTACCCCCTGGCCTATACTATTTCAGACAGCATCCACAGCTTCTGAGGGCCAGCTGTTCCACTGGTTAATTGTCCTCATTGTTAGGAAGTTTCTCCTTATTGCCAGGGTGCTTTTCTCCTTGATTAGTTTCCATCCATTGTTTCTTGTCCTGCCTTCAGGTGCTTTGAAGAACAGGTTGACCTCCTGTTGTGGCAGCCCCTCAAATATTGGAAGACTGTTATCCTGCCACCCCAAGTCCTTCTTTCCATTATGCTAGACCTATCCAATTCCAGCAACCGTTCCTTGTTTTAGCCTCCAATCCCCTCATCCTCTTTGTTGCTCTTCTCTGCACTCTTTTTTTCTTGTCCTACCTCTTTTGACCGTTCTGTACTGAATAGGATTTTGCTATTTTGTCTGATGTGACAAAGCAAGATGATTTGAACCCTCTGGTTTTGCTCTCCTCCCTTTGGGGAATCGCCACCCAGAAGAGAAAACATGTGTCAGTGGTATTTCACCGTGAATGGGGTGGGCTTGGCTGCAGGCTTCTTCTGGCTCTTCTCTTTCTTTGCTCCTTCTCTTACGCTTACCACCCCATTTGGTCATAACTCCAAGAGTTGTTTTCTTTTTATTTATTTATTTTTAATTTTTTTATTAAGTACAAAGAAAAAAAGGATTAAAAACATTGAACAGAGTTGTTTTCTTTTTAAACAAACAGGACTCATGGGGACCAGAATCCCAAGTTTTATCTAGGATTTCCTTTCCTTCCTTATTTGGTTACTAAAAATCTGCCATTTATCTGGAGATAGTAATAGTAGTAAAGTTGGAAGGGACCTTGGAGGTCATCTAGTCCCACCTCCTGCTCAGGCAGGAAACCCTACACCATTTCAGACAAATGGCTGTCCAGTCTCTTCTTAAAAACTTCCAATGTTGGAGCATTTACTGCTTCTGGAGGCAAGCTGTTCCACTGATTAATTGTTCTCACTGTCAGGAAGTTTCTCCTTAGTTCTAGGTTGCTTCTCTCCCTGATTAGTTTCCACCCGTTGCTTCTTGTCCTGCCTTCAGGTACTTTGGAAAATAGCTTGATTCCCTCTTCTTTATGGCAGCCCCTGAGATATTGGAATACTGCTATCATGTCCCCCCTTGTCCTTCTCTTCGTTAAACTAGACATACCCAATTCCAGTAACTGTTCCTTAAATGTTTTAGCTCCAGTCCCCTAATCATCTTTGTTGCTCTTCTCTGTACTCTTTCTAGAGTCTCAACATCTTTTTTACATCGTGGTGACCAAAACTGGATGCAGTATTCCAAGTGTGGCCTTACCAAGGCATTGAAGATCACGTGAAGTATTGGTATTAATACTTCACGTGATCTTGATTCTATCCCTCTGTTAATGCAGCCTAGCACTGTGTTGGCCTTTTTGGCAGCTGCAGCACACGGCTGGCTCATATTTAGGTGACTGTCTACTAGGACTCCAAGGTCCCTGTCACAGTTACTACTATTGAGCATGGTGCCACCTATGCTGTACTTGTGCATTTGGTTTTTCTTGCCTAAATGTAGAACCTTGCTTTTTTTCACCACTGAATTTCATTTTGTTAGTTAGTGCCCAGTGTTCAAGTCTGTCCAGATCCTTCTGTATCTGAAGCCTGTCTTCTGGAGTGTTGGCTATTCCTGCCAGCCAAGTTTTATCTAGGATTTCCTTTCCTTCCTTATTTGGTTACTGAAAATCTGCCATTTATCTGGAGATCAAAGCTGTATCTTTTTTTCTCCACAAAAATCTCATGATATAGGTCAGGCTGAGTGACTGGAGGTCATCCAGAAAGACACAAGTGCCGATTTCCAGAACCCTTTAGGCAATTTTTGGAATGTGACTGACAGGGATGTGTGTGTGTGTGTGTGTGTGTGTGTGTGTGTGTGTGCGGTGTTTATTTCAGCCTTGAACTCCTATCTTGTTGCCTGAGCAATCTAGCCCCGTTGCACTATTCTGCTAGACCAGGGGTGTCAAACTCAATTTCATTGAAGACCACATCAGCATTGCGGTTGCCCTCAGGGGGCTGGGTGGGTGTGGCCAGGGTGGGTGTGGTCTACTGGGTGGGCGTGGACAGAGTAGGTGTGGCCTACTGGGTGGGCGTGGACAGCTCTACATCGTTCGCATCAAGGGTACCTATGGGGGCCTCGGCAGGAGTGGGACAGATCTGAGGGTCTCTGACTGGGGCAAGTGCCAAGGCATGGTCCACTGGAGGAGCCTCACTGTTCCTCTCAGGCCATGCAGGGGGGGCTGGATGGTGGCGTGGGCTGCCCGGAGCCCTGGGCAGCAGAGGTCAAATGCCCAACCTGGCCCTCGAGCACCCACGGCACCAAGGCCAGCCCCACTTCCCCAAGGAATTGAACGCGGTATTCCAGGTGTGGCTTTACTAAGGTTTTATAAAGTGGTACTTTTAAGCCTTAGAAAGCCTCCTTTTATTTAAGCAAAAGGAAATGTAACTTCTCTTCTCTCAGACGGATGAAGAATTTAACCGCCTGATGGGAGGTCTCCATCCTGATTCAGTTGATCCTGACAATGCTTCTCAAGGCTTTCCCCAAATGCCAGACATTCAGCAGACAGCCAAGCCCAAGAAATGTCACCAGAGACATTATGGCACTTCAAGAAAAGACCAGGTGAGTCCTTGAACAGTCTACCTACTTACCTATCTATCTATCTATCTATCTATCTATCTATCTATCTATCTATCTATCTATCTACCTACCTACCTACCTACCTATCTATGTATCTACCAGATGAGTCCTTGAACAGTCTACCTACTTATTTATCTATCTATCCATCCATCCATCCCATCCATCTCTATGTACATAACTACCTATCATCCATCCATCCATCCATCCATCCATCCATCCATCCCTATCATCTATCTACATACCTATTTACCATCCATCCATATCTACCTACGTACCTACCATCCATCCATCCGTCTATATCTATCTATCTATGTACCTACCTACCATCTATCTATCTATCTATCTATCTATCTATCTATCTATCTATCTATCTATCTATCTATCTACCTACCTACCAACCTACCTATCTATGTATCTACCAGGTGAGTCCTTGAACAGTCTACCTACTTATCTATCTGTCTATCCATCCATCCCATCCATCTCTAAGTACGTACCTACCTATCATTCATCCATCCATCCATCCATCCATCCCTATCATCTATCTACATACCTATCTACCATCCATCCATATCTACCTACGTACCTACCATTCATCCATCCATCTATATCTACCTATCTACGTACCTACCAACCATCTCTCTCTCTCTCTCTCTCTCTCTCTCTATCTATCTATCTATCTACCTATCTATCTATCTACCTATCTATCTACCTACCTATCTACCAAGTGAGTCCTTGAACAGTCTACCTACTTATCTATCTGTCTATCTATCCATCCATCCATCTCTATGTATGTACCTACCTATCATCCATCCATCCATCCCTATCATCTATCTACATACCTATCTACCATCCATCCATTTCTACCTACGTACCTACCATCCATCCATCCATCTATATCTACCTATCTATGTACCTACCTACCATCTATCTATCTATCTATCTATCTATCTATCTATCTGTCTGTCTGTCTGTCTGTCTGTCTGTCTGTCTGTCTATCTGTCTATCTATCTATCACTTACCTATTAATGACCACTGCAGACCCTTCCTTTCATGCAGAGAATTCCAGTCTCTGTTCTGAACAGGGTCCAATCTTGCACACTCCTCTTTCCGCTCAGCTGCTTTCAGTCCAGCTTAACACAAATCACTTGGCTGCTTTGGTCCTGCTTTTGGAGCAATCCGCTTCATCTGTGTTGCTCAAATGGTCATTGAATCTTCTTGGCCATGGAAGATATGGAGATGATGTACAGGAATTCCTCGACTTACGTCCATTCATTTAGTTTACAACAGCACTGAAAAAAGTGACATCAACACTTTTTATGCTTCCGATTGTTGCAGCATCCCCATGGTTAAGTGATCAGAATTCAGATGCTTGGCAACTGGCATGTACTTATGACGGTTGAAGTGTCTCGGGATCATGTGATCCCCTTTTGCAACCTTCTGATAAGCCAGATTCACTTAACAACTGTGTTCCTAACTTAGCAACTGCAGTTATTCACTTAACAGTGGAAGGAAATGCTGTAAAATGAGGCAAAAATCACTTAATAACTATCTTGCTTAGCAACAGAAATGTTACTCAGTTGTGGTTGTAAGTTGAGGACTAGCTGTACTTGTCCTGTTTACTGTCTACTCTAGGCTCTGCCCTCAAAGCCATACATTTTCAGCTCAGCTAACTTCATACCACTTTTTTGTTTAACTTAGCTGATGAAACAAGTCCTACAGATTGAGTGAAGTGTTAATACCACTTTACAAGGCCTTGGTAAGGCCACACTTGGAATACGGCATCCAGTTTTGGTCACCACGATGTAAAAAAGATGTTGAGACTCTAGAAAGAGTGCAGAGAAAAGCAACAAAGATGATCTGGAGGCTAAAACATATAAGGAACAGTTGCTGGGATTGGGTATGTCTAGTTTAATGAAGAGAAGGACGAGGGGGGATATGATAGCAGTCTTCCAATATCTCAGGGGCTGCCCCAAAGAAGAGGGAGTCAAGCTATTCTCCAAAGCACCTGAAGGCAGGACAAGAAGCAACAGATGGAAACTCATCAAGGAAAGAAGCAACCTAGAACTAAGGAGAAACTTCCTGACAGTTAGAACAATTAACCAGTGGAACAACCTGCCTCCAGAAGCGGTGAATGCTCCAACTCTGGAGGTTTTTAAGAAGAGACTGGACAGCCATCTGTCCGAAATGGTATAGGGTTCCTGCCTGAGCAGGGGGTTGGACTTGATGACCTCCAAGGTCCCCTCCAACTTTATTATTATTATTACTATGTGGATCATTGCACAGTCAGCCAGATGTTCAGACTGGATTTGGCATTTTGTCTACCTATCGAGTCCTTACCCAGGACCTGGAATAGGCAGATGTGGATGTTTGATGGTATTACAGATATCGTCGCAGGATGGAAGCAGTTCCTAATAAGGCCGCCTTTTGCAATTGACTAATAGCGAATTTGTCAATGCCAATGGTGTTCAAGTGGTGCTCCAGTTGTTTTGGGATTGCACCCAACTGGATTATTATTATTATTATTATTATTATTATTATTATTATTATTATTACTACTACTACCACTACTACTACTACTACTACTACTACTACTACTACTACTACTACTACTACTACTTTTAGCTTCCCAAATCTGCACCAGAGAAAAAGGCAGAGCTTTCCTGTTTACCTGGCTCTCCCTCCCACCTCAGGAAAGAAAACTTTCAAGCTCTGTTTTTCAGCTAGGCTTACCATATTTTCAAGCAATTAAATCCTATTTTTCCATGATTCTTTTGTAAATTAGCAGGGATGCCTGGATTTGGGTGCCCAAGCAGGGCAATCTTGCCAAACCAATAAGCTGCTTAAACCTTTACATCCACTTTACAGCTATTCTATCTGCATCTCAACTGATTTCCTTTCCTTTAATCTCATCGCTCCATTGTGCAGTCTAAATCACCACAAGACGATTATTATTTTAACAGCTGGCGGTCGCCTACAGAAGAAGGCTCGGCAAGCATCGTTCTGACAATTTTGGGAAGTTTTGCCTCCTATCCAGCAACGGAACCAAGAAACAGCTAGGAAGGCGATGTGGGTGCATAAGCCGCTATCGTCGGCGTTGCCAGAAATGTTGTAAGCTGGCTTTGTAGTCAAAACAAGGCTGACTCAAGATTGCTTACAGTAACGTAAGCAGGATTAAAAGAATCTAGCGGATAATTCCTGTCTGCCAGGCAAACAGATTCCCCCCAGAGAGAGCTGTCTCTCCCTTTTGGCTCTAATAATTTCCTAGTAGACTTCCTTCCCTTGTCCTGCAACATGGCATTTAGGTCCGATATGCTGTTTTCATCTTTTTATTATAAATTTTTACAATTTTACAATAAAAACCTCTTTCCCAATCCCTCCCAACACACCCCAAAACCCTCCCTCATTCTTCCCAGAGCTGAATACAGGGTTAACTAGAACTTAAAAGAAAAAACTTTTAAACTCAAATAAACCTCAAACAAATATGATTACATTCAATAAACAAATTGTTAAGTACTTTAACTCCATTATATATAAAAAACAGAAAGAGAAAAAGAAGAAAAGAAAGAAAATAAGAAAAATAATAAAAGGGAAAAAAAACCTATTCTACACTTCTAAATAATATCTTAAACTTTAAATATAAATTATTCAAAAGCCATCTTTTAAAAAATATATTAAGTCCATTAGAAAAATAAATGCAGAACCAAATGTTTTAGGGAGATAAGGGGAAAGTAGCCTGAAAGCAGGATATTTGGAAGTGTCTGTAGACTCTCCCTTTTAATATTTTTGTTTGATCTTTGCAGTTCATAACTTTTTGTCAAAAAAAAAGCTGAACAGCAGCTTCCTTTTGCCTTCTCTGAGAAAGTAGATAAGACATTATTCTCTTGACTATGTCTTGTTTGCAGAGTTCGTAAAAGTCTAGATTTAGCCTCAAATTATAGGTAGTCCTTGATTTAAAACCATAATTGACTCTGGAATTACAGCTATAAGTCAATGTGGACATTAAGTGGGCGACTGGACACATCTTTACCTATTTTGCAGCAGCTGTTAAGCAGATGCTGTGCTTAAGCAAATGCAGCAATCATTAACCAAATCATTATACCCAGTGGGGATTTTTTTATTGGAAACTGGAGGTGAACATTGGAAAATTGCAAACAATGTCAAAAATTGTGATTGTGTGACCATGGGACACTGCAGATAGCCATAAATGTGAGCTGGTTGCTAAGCACCCAAAGTGTAATCACATAAATGCATGCGTTTGTGTTGAGACTGTTGTAACTTCAAAAGTTGGGTGACGAGAACCTTATGGGCATCTTGTCAAGACTGCTAACCTCGGATGTTCTTGCTTGACATATATGAAGAAGCAAGCATGTTTTATTTAACCTGTATATCACTTCTAGAGTTAGTGTCAGACAATGTTAGAATAGCTCAGTGGTTCTCAACCTGTGGATCGGGACCCCATTTGGGGTCGAACGGCCATTTCACGGGGGTCGCCAAACAACGCAGTCCACCATTTTTTCCCCCTTTTCCTTAGCTGTGTTACTCCCTTTTATTCTATTGGCTTTTGAAAGCCAATAGAATAGACTGTCTTGAATAGAGTCTAATTCTATTGGCTTTCAAAAGCCAATAGGAATTGTCCAGGCTGTCTCTGGCCTGCTGAGCCCACCAAAAGTCCCGTTCTGCAAACGGTGCTGCACCAGTTGAGTAGTCGTCGACTTACGATCGATTGAGTAGTCCTCGACTTACGACCGGTTGGGGGGTCGGGGCATTAAAAAGGTTGAGAACCACTGGAATAGCGGGTGGGAAAGTATGTACTCGGGGGATAGTTAGCCACAACAATACTTCAGCACAGCATTTCCAAGGTCAGTTGTAATTAGAGGAGTTACGAGAGGGACAGTTCACACTTCAAACTAATTGGAGAACGTGACTGATGACTGTAAAATGAAGGAGTGAGTCATGCTTTGTTATGGGGGATTGGGAGAGGGAGGATTCAGTTTTTGGCTTCATTATGTACGTGCTGAAACTATGTAGCAATAAAAGGATTTTTTAAGGAAAACAAAGCCTCAAAGTTCTTTGAAAAGCTTCTTCGTTCCGAACCCATGACACATCTTTCATAAATCTGAATGGTTGCTAAGCAACCCTTTGTAAGTAGAGGACTACTTGTAAGTTTTGAGTTCAGCTCAGCCTATTTGGTCCCTAAACAGCCAATATTAGAGTTTATTGTTTTTTTTAAAAGCTTTAGTTCATTGTTTGTATAATATTATCTAATGGAAATTTTTATTTCAGCTCTATTCTGTACTACTTTATCTGGATCTTTCTATATATCTCTTGACTGACCATTTCCAATGTCCATCCCCATCAATTTCTCCAAATTTGTTAAGAATTAACTACTTTGAAATTCTGCTTTCATTCATTTGGTACTCTGCTGTAAAACCAAAGAATGAGCCTTACTTAATAAATGGCACTGGTAGTTTATGTAGTAGTACAATAGTAGTAGTACAATAGTTTAAGGTAATAAAAAATACAATTGTTAATTGTGCCTGTTATAATTATTACATATGGCCACTTCATTTTATGGTTATTATTATCTTTTTTCTTATACCAGTGATGGCGAACCTTTTAGAGGGTGAGTGCCCAAACTGCAACCCAAAACCCACTTATGCATCGTCAAGTGCCGGGTGGGCGTGGCCCAGTGGGTGGGCGTGGCCCATTGGGTAGCGTGGCTGTGGTAGTAACAGCAGACTGGGTGGGACTAAAAAGTTCAATCCATCAATTCCAACTTTGCAAGATCTTTTTTTTCCCGCGAGAAGTTGAAATTGACTGACTGAACCTTTTTTTTTTTTGCACACGGCGACGGAGGCCTAAAGCGAAAAGGTTTTATAAAACCCAGCTGAAGGCCTAAGACTGAGACGACGGCCCGCGTGCCCACAGAGAGGGCTCTGAGTGCCGCTTCTGGCACCCGTGCCATAGGTTCGTCACCACTGTCTTATACAAATGAAGTTTATTGGATCTGCGAAGGATTGTAAATTTGGCAAAAGTGTGATTTGGCAAGTGCATGGATGCACATATAGCACATTTTTTAAAGATTTTATCCTGCTTTTATCATTGTATTTGATAAGTAACTTAAGGTAGTGAACATCCACAATACTCCTTCCTCCTATTTGCCCACAGAAAGCAACTCTATGAGATGGATTGGGCTATGAGAGAAGGACTGACCCAAAGTCACTCAGTTGTTTTTTCATGCGTCAGGCAGAACTAGAACTCAGTTTCCTGGTTTCTAGACCAACACCTTAACCACTGTGCTAAACTGGTACTCATATTGGGGATACTTCATCAAGCGATACAAAGACACGTTGAAAGCCTCTGTCAAGTCCCTGGATAGTAACACCATCTCTTGGGAACTTCTGGCGCATGATCAACCGACATGGCGCACCTTGGTGTACCAGGGCTTCCAGACATATGAACACAGAAGGACAATCTTGGCACAAGAGAAGCGAGCACTCCGCAAAGCCAGAGCTGCAAATGCTGAAGTAACAGTGTCTACATTTCTTTGTTCAGTATGTGGCAGAACACTCCGTGCTAACATCGGTCTTATTAGCCACCTATAGACACATTGTTGATGGCCCATAATCCACAAGATGTCAGGGTCTTCATCGAAATTGATGGACGAACAACTTTATCAAGCACATTTTTTCCTGAGTTGTGTGGGTAGTTGCACAAGCCCGGGAAAAGACAAAGTTAAATTAGGGTTATGAACATACCTACTCATACACTGAAGCACGTTTTGCCTTTCGAATCTGGAATATTACACAATTCTATAATTTATCGAGATGTAATTTATACAGGGTAAAACCTTACTCTGAATTATTCTTTTGCTTTTCTTCCACCTGAATTTCATTTGTGAACAACTGTTAATGGGCAGATTTTAATGGAGAAAATATATCTACGTGGTCATTAAATAGTCCACACCGACTGGATGGCACATAGCTCATCACTTATTCGTTTCATCTGTAATATTTTGGAGCTGCAACTTATTTTTCATAAATGGGAATGTGGTTTTTTTTTTGCTTTGAATTCTGAAATAAATTTTTGAAATTGTATACTTGTGCGTTTATCCCAACAGTCATATTCTTTTGCACTCATATTATCTTGTTTACAGGAAGAATTAGAGAGCTAATTTTCAAACTGCCTATTCTGGAACCGTGAACTAAGATGCCTTGTAGTTTTGGTCCGGACAGCATAATGAGGATGATTTTAAAACAATATTTATTTCCAGGAATCCTTAGCAGAGACTTACTTTGCAGAAGATACATCTGAATCATTAGGATATTGTTCATCCCCATAGAGTTTATGCTGTCCGGACCAAAACTACAAAGCATCTTAGTTCATGGTTCCGGAATAGTAAAGAAATAGCGAATTCTTCTGTCCTGCGTAGAATCACATGTTGGCATGGAGCCATGCAGAGATAATACAAAAGGCACAAAGCCAGAAAATACAGTCATAAACTTTGAAACTCCTCCCACATAACATTAACTAACAGCTAGAACTACATTACCCATAAGCCATCTCTTAAGGAGATAGTGCTTAACCCTTTAAATGACAAACATTCTAACATACAGTTCTTAAGCTAATATACTTATATGTAATATACAGTATATATAATATACTATACTCTAGAAAGAGTACAGAGAAGAGCAACAAAGATGATCAGGGGACTGGAGGCTAAAACATACAAGGATCAGTTGCTGGGATTGGGGATGTCTAGTTTAACAAAGAGAAGGACGAGGGGGGACATGATAGCAGTCTTCCAATATCTCAGGGGCTGCCCCAAAGAAGAGGGAGTCAAGCTATTCTCCAAAGCCCTTGAAGGCAGGACAAGAAGCAACAGACGGAAACTGATCAAGGAGAGAAGCAACCTGGAACTCAGGAGAAACTTCCTGACAGTGAGAACAATTAACCAGTGGAACAACCTGCCTCCAGAAGCGGTGAATGCTGAAGTTTTTAAGAAGAGACTGGATGGCCATGTGTCTGAAATGGTCTAGGGTTTCCTGCCTGAGCAGGGGGTTGGACTAGATGACTTCCATGGTCCCTTCCAACTTTATTATTATTATTACTATTATTATTATTACTATTATTATTATGGATCATCGCACAGTCAGCCAGATGTTCAGACTGGATTTGGCATTTTGTTTACCTATCGAGTCCTTACCCAGGACCTGGGATAGGCAGATGTGGATGTTTGATGGTATTACAGATATCGTCGCAGAATGGAAGCAGTTCCTAGTAAGGCCGCCTTTTGCAATTGACTAATAGCAAATTTGTCAATGCCAATGGTGTTCAAGTGGTGCTCCAGTTGTTTTTGGATTGCACCCAAGGAGCCTATGACTATTGGTACTACCCTTGCTTGCTTTTGCCACAGTCTTTCTATTTCTATTTGTAGGTCTTTGTAT